CCGCTGTCACAGTCTCTGGCAGTCGCGGGATAAATGTTGTGTTGTCCAGCAACTTGCTTGCACGGTGGCGCAGTGCATCAGATGCGGTCAAGACAGTCGCCTTTCCCAACGGGGTAGCGCCAAGCGACGTGTTTCCCGAGTCCTCGTGCATACGTTGCCATTCGGCCTCTAGCATCTCGTGCCATGCGAGCACGCCGACACCACCAGAGCCAGCGTCTAGTATGGTGCCACCCTTTTTGTCCTGCAGCATGTGTTGCAGCCATCCTGACCCTAATCGGCGACGGACTTCAACCATGGCGCTCATGACACTTGCGTATGTGCCTGGCTGTACAGAAGCCATGTAAACATCAGCCTCGATGTTGCCCATATCTGACTGCGAAGGGTGGAGCGGAATTGGTTTCTGCTCGTGGCCCAAGCGTGCAGGGGTCGTGCTGGCGGAGTGAGGCAAACCACGACCGCCAAAGATACGGTTCGCAGACTCGGCGAGGTGTTTGTGGTTGGCGCGCGTCAGGAGCAGCGCGGTAGGGTCGACGAGCGAGTTCTTGGGCAGAAAGACGGTCGAAGGCGATGGCTTGAAGCGGCCCTCGATGGTCAATGGATGTGCGCGCATAAAGCCGTCTTCCTCTTGCCCTTCATCTACGTCCTCCCAGGCCTCTGCTTCCTCTTGTTGCAGTCGACTCTGCTCGTAGATGTCGTCGTGGTATGCCTGCGCCTCTTCCTCCCTGCGCGCTTCCCATTCTGCGGGTGTCATTGTCTCTTGGTCCGGCTCAGCAGCTGCCTCGTCTTCGGCATCGACCTCTTCCGCGACTTCAATCTCTTCGAGTTGGCCGTCCACCCCCTTCCTGAGCAAGACGATGGAACCATCAGGCCCCTCCTGCTCGACAATCTCGTCGTCAACTGCACCGTCAACGCGTTCCGCCTCTTCGGCAGCATCTGCAAAGACGGCTGGGCCATACAGCCTCTTGTATATTGTGTACTCGTCGTCGGTCAAGTGGTCCCGCGGCAACGTATCGCCGAACTGCTGCCTTGCTCTCCGCGCGTTGACTTCGTGGCTAACCGCGTCGGCTGCCGAGGGAGGCAAGCCTTCAGTATCCCGTGAGGCATGTTGCTGCAATTGTCGTCTTCCAAAGGCTGTAGAGAAGGCTCTTCGTGGCGTTGTAGGCTCCGGGGCGACCAAGCGTAGCGGCGGCGGCGCGTGCCGTGTCTGAGAGGGTAATCTTGCGCTACGCGCTCGTGAAATGGCAATGTTTAGTCGGCACGATGCACATACTGACGGTAAGCCTCTCGTCTTCAGCATCATCGAACGCCGACCTTGATCTTGTCGAGCAATGCATTCTGGCCGCTCGAGGCAAAGTTCGCCGCATCTTGAATCCAGGGTCCACGCGCTAAGCCCTGCCCAATCCAGATGCGTGCCGACATGTTTACTCAGCCTGCGCCCCGCTAGAGATGGCTCCCACCAACTATACAACATCGTTTAGTTGTTTCGAAACTATGAACATGGGCCTGGGGCCTGGAGACTTTGACTATCCGTCGCTGAAGAAGCTACTCGACAACACGACTGCTGAAGTCCTACTTCCGGGCGACGGTGAAGAGTACGAAAAGAGCATCGAGAGGTGGAGTGAGCACTGCATAAAACGAGCTGTACGTTCCCTTAGTTCTGTCTTTCTATACAAATGTTTCTGCATCATGTTCACGCACTTATACGAGCAAAGGCTGCTGTAATCCTAGTCCGGTCCGCCCATGACGTCTCCGCGGTTTTAGCTCAAATACGCGAGCACAGAATCCCCTTCACAGTCCGCGGTAAGCACATCAGAGTACAGCCAGATTACATGTGAGAGAAAGACTCACATTCTGTAGGGGGAGGCCACAGCACGTCTGGAGCTGCGTCTATCCGAGATGGCATCGTCATCGATCTTTCCAAGATGCGCAAAGTGATTGTCGATGTGGATGCCGAAACAATCAAGGCAGACGGTGGGACTGTCTGGGAAGATGTCGACGTTGAGGCTGCCAAGTTTGGTCTTGCAACTGTAGGTGGCACCGTCAACCATACCGGCGTGGGGGGCTTGACTCTGGGAGGAGGCTATGGTTATCTTACAGGAAAGTACGGCTTAACGATTGGTATGTGCATGAACCAGTATCAATGAGTATTGACAAAGTCTGCGTTATTGACATCTTCCAGATAATCTCTTGTCCGTTGACATTGTCCTCGCTTCTGGTGAACAAGTTGTCGCGTCAGCCACCTCAAACCCCGACCTATACTGGGCTGTGCGAGGCGCAGGTCAGAATTTTGGAGTAGTGACGGCATTCACATTCCAGGGTTATCAACAGAGGAGCCATGTGTTTGCGGGGCCGCTGGTTTTCCTTCCGGATAAGCTACCACAGGTCGTTCAGTTCGCAAATAAGTTTCATACTACCAACGACGGCAACCAAGCGATGCTCATGGGCTTCTCTGCCCCACCACCGGCGAATGCTTCGGTTGTAATTTGCCAGATCTTTCACAATGGTAACGAAGAAGAAGGAAACGCCTTCTTCGCCGACTTATTTGAACTCGGCCCAATAGCGAACATGACCGCCATGATTCCCTACCCTCAACTCAACAGCCTTCTTAATCAAGGAGCCGGCTTTGATGGACGTAAGCTTTTCGGTGGTGGCGCTTTCAGACTCCCCATGGACCCAAACTTCGCTATGCAGCTTCACGCTGAGTTCAATGCTTTTGTGGCGTCGCATGAGCGAATGAACGAAAGCATGATGCTTTTTGAAGCCGTTCCTTATAAGAAGGTCATGGAGATTGCCAACGACAAGACGGCTTTCTCAAATCGTGGCGACTACTATAATGTGGCTGTGATGATGAAATGGTAAGCCGAATCAGCATCACAGAGGAGTCAATATTAAAGAGAGCACAGGTTCGATCCTTCACTCGACGACGAAATTCGTACCTTCTCACGAAATCTTCTCAAGAAAGCCTCAGAAACCGCCTCGGAACGGTCAAAGGATGGTGGTGTAGGTCAGTACGGCAATTATGCAGCTGCCGATGTTGAGGCGAACGAGATCTTCGGCGCCAACGTGAAGCGACTCGAGGAACTTAAGCACAAGTACGACCCCGATAACCTGTTCAGTCATGGCACAAAATTGACTCCGCGTCCCTTGGTAGTGGTGAATTGAGTACTCCCACCATATGTGCATATATACAACACGGGATGACATGTATCGAATCAGATGCGTACAAAATTCAGTCTCCGGTTTACTACTATCTATTTACCACGATGATGCTTTGTTTACCAACAGCTCAGTACATACTTTTGTGTACTTTCCTTCGTCTCGGCTCGAGGTCGGAGTTACCACATCGGATATATATCTACACTACACGACGCGACAGTAGCGCCGGAAATCAGCAACCCCTGACGTCACCCCATACCACCGGCCTCTACAATAGTACCAAGCTTCTACGCCACACTCAGATAACCCTGCACGACTTACCGTATCCACTCCTTTTCAGTCTGCGCTCGGGAAATAATGTCTACCGATGCACCGACAGTCTCTGAATCAAAGGACCAACGTTGTGGGGCACGCGATCCACGGAGATTCGTCCTACACGTGCTTAAAACCGAGCGTGCAGACTCTATCAAAATCGCGAAGTTCGCCGCATGCAAGTTCTGTATCTATTCACTTTCCAAGCTTGAACGCCGGCATAGCGACACTGTTTCCCTCACCACAACCTTCTCTATCGTTGAAAAACACAGACGAGTTATATTTATATACATGGAAGTTCACGCCCTACACTAGTAATCATAGTCTGCTACACGTATTTGACAGCATACCCAGTCTTTGTGAACGCCTCTTCTCAGTCTCACGTCACCATGGAAAGCACAAGACGACCACGAGCTCAAAGATCATCCACGTGCCGATCAGTATCCCGACAACGGCGACTCGACAACGCACCATTACATCGTATCTTGTCCAGTCAATTCCCAGACGATCATTCGGTTTATCACCATGAAGATGGCGAGGGAACCCATGTCGACGAGGACGCGAGTTCATTGCACAAGACTGAGACTGAAAGGCGAGACGAGAACTCGTCCAGTGACAACGACGACGGCGGCGACAGCGGCGATGACAAAGGTGGGAAAGAAGTAAAAGACGATACCGCTCAAGAGGAAAATACGACTTACGAGGAGATACGGGGTGGTATTCCATACGAGCGTGATGTGGTGGCACTATCACGTTTAGAAAAGCAAAAGTCTACGCGGTCCGTCAAAGACCCAAATTTGGTATATTCTACCTGACAGACATTGACTGCTACTGTAACATCTAACATACATAAGGTCACATGGGATTCAGAGTTCGACCCACATAATCCAAAGAACTGTAGGTTTGGTCTCCCCAATTAAGCACAGATAAGTTGTGGTCTAACAGCTGGTAGGGTCCATGAAGCGGAAATGGGCAGCAACTATCATTGTCTCTTCTTTTACCCTCGTCTCGCCAATATCCTCGTCCATGATCTCGCCAGCTCTGGGCAGCATCAGTGCTGAATTCGGCATCACAAATGAAGTCGAAGCCCAGCTTACCTTATCCATCTTCGTTCTGGCGTATGCAATTGGACCGCTGTTCCTAGGCCCACTATCGGAGATCTATGGACGAGTCATCGTCTTGCAGCTGTCAAACTTGTTCTACTTGGCTTGGAATTTGGGATGTGGATTTGCTCAGACATCTGGCCAGCTCATGGCATTCCGATTCTTCAGTGGTTTAGGCGGATCTGCACCATTAGCTATTGGTGGTGTATGTACTCTCTTCCTGAAAAATGCCGTTGGAAGATAAAACGCTAATTGACTTACTAGGGTGTTCTTAGCGATTGTTTCCTTCCCGAGCAGCGTGGCCGAGCCATAGCAATCTATTCACTGGCTCCATTACTGGGCCCGGCTATCGGGCCTATTGCCGGTGGTTTCATCTCTCAAAACACGACTTGGAGATGGTGTTTCTACGCCACCACGATCTTCACAGCAATGGTGCAATGTCTCGGGTTCTTCCTTCTGCAAGAAACATACGCACCAAAGCTCCTTGAGTGGAAGCGAAACAAACTGCGTAAAGAGACAAGCAACGAAGAACTACACACTGAGTTCGATAATCCTGATCGAACGCTTGCAACAACTATTAAAATCGCCATGAGAAGGCCGTTCAAGCTGCTCCTCACCCAGCCCATTGTGCAAGTTCTAGCTTGCTACATGGCCTACCTATATGGCCTCATGTATCTGATGCTCTCGACCTTCCCCAGCTTATGGGTCACGCGCTATGGTATGACTATAGGGATTGGTTCTTTGAACTTCATCTCCATGGGCATGGGCTTCTTCCTCGGCACACAGATCACCGCACCCCTCAATGACGCCCTCTACCGCCGCCTAAAGAAACGCAACAACGGCATCGGTAAACCAGAATTTCGCATTCCAATCATGATCCCTGCGTCTCTTCTCGTTCCAATCGGCCTTTTTTGGTATGGTTGGAGTGCACAAGCGCAGGTACATTGGATCATGCCTAATATCGGTGCTGCGATATTTTGCGCGGGTGTTATTGTGGGGTTTCAGTGTATACAGACTTATCTTGTTGACAGCTATACACGGTACGCTGCGAGTGCTATCGCGGCGGCGACGGTGCTCAGGTCGTTGGCTGGGTTTGGATTTCCGTTGTTTGCACCGGCCATGTATGACGAGTTGGATTTTGGATGGGGAAATAGCGTGCTGGGCTTTATTGCCTTGGCTTTGGGTGTCCCAGCGCCGTTCATGCTATGGAAGTTTGGGGAGAAGTTAAGGAGTAGTAGCAAATTTGCCGCGGGCTGAAGGTGTCGCAGAAGCGTCAATACCCGCCTCGTAATGTGGAATGCAACACGCGGGGGCTTCATGTTGCGAAATCAGATTAGACGAGAGGGCTAATCGAAGTGGAATACTTGAAAGCATACTAGAATAGCCGCACGCTATCAGTCGTGACTTGAGTTTGTCATTCTAAACACGTTCTTCGTAAAACACAAGTCGTGAGCGACAAATCGTCTCTATCATTCCGCCCTTTGTCCACAGCCTAGCTATGTAGAGCTGCTTTTTCAGCTGGTACTAAAACTATGGCCTACGCGATGGCCGATGACGCCAACTGCGTGTCCATCTCAGTCGTCAATTTCGTAATGCAGCGATACATTGAGCCAGCTTCGTCAGTTCCACCTCTCAGTCTTCCTAATCACACCCTGGAGTACAGCAATTAGAGCATCCGTAAGTATATCCAAGATCGACATGTAAAGAAAGCATCGTGAGATGACGGCTGCAGCTTTATCGTCACCCTGAGCATCTTTGGGGCGTCGGCGACACACCAGCCGGGCAACACTCCAGCGAAGCACCTCAAAGCTATCTCAATCATCCCGCATACCAGAGCGCGCCTTCAATGACCAGCTCAAACTAAGACCAGGCCCCAGTCTTAGTCAAGATCGCATTCTCCTCTTGGTTGAGGTGTCTGACAAGCTACCTAGGGAGTGGGGGGTGTGCGATTGGGACCGTGCCCTAGCAACCCGCGAACTTCCCCGCGTAAACACACTTTTGCTCGACCAGTACTTGCGCCGCAGAGGCCGTTACTCTAACAACCTTTCGCGTCGAGCCCTCAGATACTCTACATAATACCGAAATGTCCGACGAAGATCTCGAGCAGATAAGACGCGCGCGCCTGCAGCAGTTACAACAACAGGGCGGGGGAAGCGGAGGACAAGGAGGCGAAGGCGCCGAGCAAGATTCGCGAAAGTAAATACAATTATACACGAAGATCAAGGTTTCTTACTAAGGCAGAGTTACAGGCAGCAAGAGGGTACGTTTTCAGAATCTCTCCTGGCGCAGACATGCATCACTTGACCACACACTCCCCCTTCGCCCACTCGTCCAAACCCCGCCGTCCATTAGCAACCACGGGCTAACCCTTCCCATCAGCCGACCAGCGTTCCTCCATTCTCTCACAAATCCTTCTCCCCGAAGCAGCCGACCGTCTCGGCCGTATCCGCCTTGTCAAGGAATCGCGCGCAACCGACATCGAGAACAGACTTATAATGCTTGCGCGGACTGGCCAATTACGACAGAAGGTTACAGAAGATCAGCTCAAAGAGATACTGGGGGCTGTAGCAGAGCAACAGGAGAAGGAAGAGCAGAAGATTGTTGTCAACAGGAGGGGAGGGAACTGGGACGATGATGATGAGCTCGAGGAACTCATGAAGGATGTATAGGGAAGCGAGGATAGGTAAACAAAGAGAGAGAGACACACACACAGATGCTGGGTGTTGCATTAGGCGGTGCTTCTGGGACATGCAAGGCAGGTAGTCTTGCGCATGAAAGCCAAGGTACGACTTCTCATGGCAACTTCACGACGTGCATCAAGTCGTACATGATTTGTGACTATTGTCCATCTGCCGGTGGTTGTTCAATACTCGCTACTTAGTTCTCAATCATGACGAATGATAACCTGTGGATTAGTGAAGAAGCAAGCACAAGAGAAGAACAACATCAGATGTGCCGTTCGATAAAATCGCAGCCGCAAATGGGAGTAGTACCACCATCCGCTTGGTGCAAACAGTGTGCGCAGTTGAAAAGAGGGTTCGGACGAAGTGAGGCTATAGATGCCGCGTGAAAGACTCAAACATTGTTCTAATGCTAGGTAAGCGTGGGTTTCTACCAGTATACCATCTTCCGAGTGTTATCTGAGGTATAGATGAACAAGCCAACCTGTCGCAAAGACCATGACAAGCATTTGCATGTAACCCCCAAATGAAAGTACCGGATTCGATCACAAGCGCGATCTTGGAGTTGTCGTAGGCATTGAAACCAATGATCTCACGTCGCTGCCATCCTGGCCATACCCTCCCTATCCTCCGCGCTCAAGGTATTGGCCTTGGCAGCTTCCTTCCATCTCTCAAGCTGCTCATACTGCTCATACTCCAGCTTGCCTTTCAATAACTTCAACAGCTTTGGTGTGAACTTTCCCGTTGCATATACGACACCATCGTACTGCTTTGCGAAGAGCAAGATAACTAGCGTTAAGAAGAGTACGGGGCCGTCGGAAGCTTTTTGTTTCTTGATTCGGCGAAGCATGTCGTCGAGCATCGATTGCTTGGCAGCAGCCAGCGAATCTGTAGATGGATGGTTGATACCTTGTTTTTTGTTGAATTTCTCCAAAGCTGAAGATAGTGATGTATTATCCAGAAGCATCGTGGACTCCAGCACACTCGAGAGCTTGGTAACATTCTTTCTTGTTTTGCGGCTGAGGACTAGACCCTGCGCTCGTGCTTTGGCAATAGTATCGGGTATAAGGTCCTTGTGTGCGTAAGTTGCAAAGACCTGAGCAAGCTGGCTGTGCACTTTCTGGTCCATGACTGAAACTAAGCCGGCGCTGTATATCCGATATCGGGTGAGCATGCGATCTGTCCAGTACATGGCAAAGTCCTCTTCATTCAGTGTTTCGAACGAGGACACGTGGAACCAGAAGCGCTCTTCTAATAACTTCTCAACTGGTTTTTGTTGGAGGAGAAGGCGCTGAACAAGGCCTGTGGGAGGAATCATGTCTTTGATCTTGTCTCGAGTGAATTTCACGTCTTCCACTAGGGTTGGATCGTCGTGTAGACTTTGCCATTGTGCCTTTGCAGCTTCTTTTGCGTAGCCAGCGAGCTCGTCGAGTGCTCCGTCTCGGCGCCTTTCAGTGAGTATCAGAGTGCCGACGCGCACTATCTTCAGCCCTCCAGTGGTCTCGGAGAAGTGAGCGACAATGGAGTTCTTGGCTCGGCCGGCCACCTGCTCCCTTATAGTTGGTGGAAGACGGGAGCCAATCACTTCGGTGACATCAAGGGTACAACCTTCTTGTTCAAGGATGCGTACGCAATCTTGCTCTAACCTGGAGATCCAGATCAGTGATACAGCGAAAGAGTCTATTACCTCAATGCCTGAGAGTTGCTGGAAGTAAGACAATGCGACTTGGGAAGACTGGAAAAGTTCGATGAAGTCGGAGGCGAATCTTTGCACGTCGAGATAGGCAAGAGCGCCGGACTGCAGATCGTAGACTGTGGTATCGCGTTCGGATTCTAGATATCGCTTGGGTGTGCACAAAACGCTAACGTCAGTTTCCTGGATGTTGACCTTGGAAGTAAGATTTTCAGACTGCAAGAGTCGCTCGAGAGTATGCAGAATGAACCATGTAGGGGGATTGTCAGGCAAATCAGCTGGTTTGATATTGAGAGTCCTGTACAGAGTGAGCATGCGATGCATCTAAGGCAAGTCCTGCACTTACCGGACATCATCGACCGTCTTTTGAATCATACTCTTTACTATGTCCGCGATCTTGTGAGCATAGGCCTTAGTGTAGATGTAGCCGTTAGTTTCCAGGACGTTATAATCTTGACTGGACAGGAGGAAGTCAAGACTCTTGGAAGAGACACGGTGCTGGGCAATGAATTCGGCCTTGGATGCCAGTCCCCCAGATGACAGGCGAGTGACTATCGTGTCTCGCTCATCTATGGGAATAATGCTTTCCTCGTCCGCGCTGAACAAACATAGCTTGGGGTGGCTTTGGACTAGTTGATGGACAAGTAATCGACCTATGTCGAGGTCGTTGGCCAATGTGGAAACCGGTATCCGCTGTGTCTCTGGTGCATGCTTCAGCAAATGTAGCCAAGAGAGATTACGAACGCTCACCTTTGGTCACGCGGCTTCTGAAACGAGCCTGGACAAACTGGAGCGTAACGAAAGCATGGCCGCTGGAGGACAGCGCAAGCCGCGGAACAAAATCGGAAGTGTCTTGCGGAGGGAAGAGGGCGAAGATGTCCTTCACATCATGTGCGGTAAACATGCCAGCTGGACGTTGGGTAGCGCTGCAGACTAGATTGCCAACATGTACTGTTCAGGAACAGTGCTGTGAGCTCGAACGGTTCGGCGGCGTTGGAGTATATAGTGCAAGGGAAAGCGTCAGAGGCTGGATTGCGCTGATTGGTGGGGAGCGGGCATCGGGCGGCAGAACACCGGGATTGAACAATGTTGTGGCTCATGGTCGAGTGCGCGCAGACATCCAACCCATTCCGCCCACCGCCACCATGTCTCAATTCCGCGCGGCCAAGCTGGACATTGGATGTTTCGCAAAGATTCGCAATATCCGCGACCACACCAAGCGGAAGGTGTACTCGGAGAATGAGCCAGAACGGCATGCGCCTCTGCACCTAACGCTCCCATGGCGCAACGACTGACGACGACACAGACAAGCTCTGCGATACCTGATCCGCAATACCACGCTTCCGCAACGAGTCCGCGCGCAGGCTCAGCTCCAGCTCTCGCAGATGCACTGCTACACACGCTACACCCAGATCAAGAACAGGTGTATAATGGGCGGCAAGGGCCGTGGTGTCTTCAGCGACTTCAGAATGGGCCGAGTATGCCATGGCCTTCTCTTCGCGCGACGCAGGGCTGACGATGCTACAGTATCAATTTCGCGTAAACGCTCTCGCGGGGAACCTGCCGGGCGTGAAGAAGGCAAGTTGGTAGCTGTGCTTCTACGAGAACCCGACTGGTTCCATGTACAATCCCACCTACTTTTGGCTACACATGTAGCCTTGCACATGGCCGCTCTTCGGGCGCACACTGTGAGACATTGCGTGCGAAATCTTCGTGCTTGACCCATCTCACTGTCTACTTTGCCCTCCCCTCGCTCTCTCACCGTGCGAGACACCCTTTCCTAATCGGTTTGCTCTCACCACGCGCTACAAACGACGGCAGCGGCTACCCACCGCGCCAGTGATAAAAGCCGACTTCCGTAGCCATTACACCTACAATCCCTACTCCCGCAATAGCTCTGGCTGCCGTTTTCTAGCAGCTCACTTCGCCACTGTCTACGGTCCATAGACGCCCTCAAGCATCTGCGTCAGCATGTTCCGCCGCATAGAAGACACTCTGGAGCCGGATCCATCATTTCCAGCCGACCTCAACCAACTTGGCTTCTTCATCAACCTCTCAGGTGATATCCGTATGATCGACGCGCCCGAGAAGCCCTATGTCTACCACGCCACCAACAATGAGCGCGTCAACGAGGTGCGCCGCGAGGCCATGCAAAGTACATTCCAATTTCCATTGAAACACTCGCAGCTAACACATCACAGCCTGCCAGCGCAAGGAAGCAGAGAAGCGCCTGTCCTACCTCGGCCTCGAGTGCATCCACCTTCCCGACTTCGCCATGACCAAGCCCAATGGTCCACATGTACCTATCCTTGCTCCACCGCCTGACCTCCTCAAGACGCGAAAGCGATTGATTGTACTGGTAAACGACACCATGCAAGATCTAGGCATCCTGGCGTATAGACAGTTGCAGCGGGAACTCGGCATCAACGGTGGCTCAGTCGTCAACTTTGCCAAGGAGATGGTCAAGTGCTCGGACACTGACAACACCGCTGAAAGGGACGCGAAGATTTTCAAAGATGGTCATGTTCTCCAAGACAAGACTACCACTCCTGCTTTGATTGTCTTGAACGCGGGCCAGCTGCTGTACTCGCACAAGTACGACCAGGCCATGACTCTACGCAGTTGGTCCGCCATGCCACGCAAGTCAATCGCCCACGACATGGTCCGCATCCGTGACAACGAGAACCGTGTTCCAGGTCATGAAAATGCCAAGAAACATGTCAAGACTGTCTTTGACGAAGTCATCTGCAACCCCGATCGTGTTGCAGCCGACGCAGAAGTCTACGTCATCGCTATTGAAGACGGAACGGAGAGTATCTTGAACCTGCTCACGCACGACTGTACGTCTCCTGGCCCTGCTTTCACCTGAGGAGTTTACACTAACGTATTGTTATAGTCGGCAAGTATGGTACCCGTATCACGGCCATGGCGTTCATTCACTCCTTGATCGACGACTCCCAAATCAAAGATGAACAGATTCGCGCTTTCATGCATCAGCGCACACGTCAGTGGCGATTCAGCGATCTGACATGCAACCCCCAGCACTGTGTCGACTTACCGACTGACTACAATCGACAAGTCAACGGGCCTTGTTCTGCAGACACACCATCAACCATGCAATCAATCAAGCACATGTCTTGGCACGCTTCGATTCCTACAGGCCCAGTCTCGGCTCTAACGAAGGCTTTCCACAGCCTCGCTCTCAGCGTCACCTCTTCGGCCGGGGCTTCCACTCCAACCGCAACATCAACCTCTACTAGTGGAGAAGAAAGCACAGAATGGTCCTCGGGTCAAG